AAATGGGTTTTGTTCATGGTATCATTACTTTCTCAGTGGAAGACTTGAGAATCAAACAACTATCTGCCCACCCTCTCTGTTCCCTCTGATTATGTCCATTTTTCAAAACTACTTGAGAGAAAAGCTACCTAAGTAGTTTGTGAATCTCAAACTTCTCGGCTCTAGAGCAGTGATGACAACTGTTTTAGAGAGGGGTGGCCAAAAATGTAACCCCAAACCCACTTATTTATTGCAAACTGCCAACACAAAAGACAACTCACACATTAACACCTTTTGTCTTAAGAGAAAAACAAACAATATACAAATTGTAGATTCACCACCCCTGCTCTAGGGGCTCTAGGCCAGGGACCGGCTAACAAGAGACTGACAAGAGACTGGGTGTCCAGCCCTGGAAAGCAAGTCTAGACACCATTCCAGTGACCTTGCAAAGTTAGGTGAGCATGGAAAGGAGTCGCCTGAGTTGTGTTCTATCATCCAGCGATCACAAGAAAAGCTCCCTCAATTTTTTCCTCCATAAAAAATAACATCTCAAAGCCATGTGATGGGCTTAGTGTTAGTAGGGGTGAAGATAAAATGGCAACAGAAAGCAAGGTGACTGTCCCAGCTTTATTCAGGTTTGCAGGAGGGAAGTCCTCATGACCTTCAAGACTCTGCTGATCCATGAGCCCCTGGCACTGCAGAACAGGAGCCTCACAGTTGCAGCCTGTGTGCAACAGAAAAGGGCTCACCTGCACCACACACTGCGCCTACTGCGTTCCGCTGAAAGCGAGCCACTAGCACGGAGACACCCACGAAATGGGCACATCTGCACACACATTCCCACTGAGGGATACTGGAATACACAGTATGATAACCTCATGAAATTAAAAAAGGTAAAAAAAAAAAAAAAAAACAGCTATACCTTAAAGAAATCAGGTCAGGACTAATGAGAACTGTTAGTAGGCCTCACTTACTCCCACTAGCCAGCTCACAATGCTTGGTTTTTTTTTCTGGAAACCTGTCATCCTAAATGCATTCATTATCTTAAAAAAAAAAAGATGAGTAAAGAATTAGGAAATAGGAATAATGAAATAAAAGCTCATATTTTCTCTTGTGTTTGCCCTAAGGTAAAACATTGTAACACAGATTCAAGAAGAAAAGTTAATACCGAGGCAGTTCTCTATACCATCGTTCAGAGAGAGAGAGTGCCCCCCCTTGCTTTGAAATAGAAATGATTATTTCTTCCAGAAGATCTCTAAGCCAGGCATACTTGTTCTGTTCAGGGGGGGGAAAGGCTGAAACAGGAGCAGGGCCACTGGGGAGCACAGCAGCGCAGCGCGGTCTGGGCCCACCTTCGCCTCCTCTCACTCCTCCACTCCCAACTTCTTGGGCCTTCCCCTCCTCCCTCTTGCCTTCCTTGTAATTCTCCTGGGCTGGGAATACCCAGAGGTGTCTGCCCTATTTCTGGAAAGGTGAAAGATGAAACACTGAGCTGCAGAAGCTGCTTGATTTTCCTCTATGCTTTCAGAATGTTTCAAGTCAGAACCTGAGCCTTAAAAGAAAATCTTTGAAAACCACCTCAATCACTTGCTATGATCACAAGTAAATTTTCAATTTACAGACTTAGTCTTTCCTATTTTCCAGAATGAAGAACTGTGGGACAAAGAGAAAAAAAAATGTTCAAAAATTTATATTATGATGAGCTTCATTACTGTTCACTATTTGGGAGTTTTACTGTCAATTTAGTAAACAGAGGGAAGTGATCACAGATTAATGAAGATTTCAAAGCTGGCAGCACTGGAAGACACAAACACTTGATTTATTTGCCCCTGCTCAGCGCCCTCCAGTCTTCTTCTCCTGAGGAGGCTGTAGCTCAGTGTTAGAGCACCTCTAGGTTAGATACCCCCCAGGAAAGTATGATAGGAATGCACAGATCACAAACACTTAGACACAGCACTAGTAGTACACTTTTAAGCATCTCTGAAATTACTTTTGCTTTTAAACTCAGCTTGACTTGGTGAGAGAATACTGCATGAATTGCTGAATTGTTTCTGTTCCATTCTTGATTCAATCACCAACATAAATAAATGCTTTATCTGAAAAACCTAACATTCTCCTTTGGATTCCATTCAATTCAGCAAATTTTTTCCACTTCCATGATACACCAGTTAGTAATTACATCAACCTGTCCCCCTTTTTGGGGTCTGCACCTACATCTTCACAACCAAGTGACTTTTATGAGAAAAAGATGGGAACACACATCTCCTGGGTGGCTGCCCTTCCCAGCCTCTGGTGAGTGTAGGAATGTAGGGTGTAAGCATCCAGAACAGGCGAATCCCAGCTTCCAGGCCATTGATTTCTTCCCAGGTACCCTTTCCTCCTCATAGACACCAAGGCCGTGTGGTGGGGCTACCATATGGCTCCACTGGGCCCCATATGGCTTCACCTCACTAAAAGGGACGCTCAAGAACATAAAAACACTGCTGTATACTTTTACTGCAACCCCTTCTCATTTCCCTCCATCTGTCTTCCATATGGCTTATGCAACTCTATTAGGCTCTTGCATACACAACCCTCTGATAATGAGGGCTGCCAACTCGACCAAGATAAAGAACTACAATTCACCTCTGCAGGTGACGAGGGGCTTCCACTGCTTTACCTATACGACTCATGCAGTATTCAAACTGGCACATACTAAGAGCTGCTTTTCTTCCATTTTCATATAAAATTTATTTTATTTTATGTTTTAAAAAATGTTTTTGACAACAAGAAACAACAACAAAAAACATGACCACTTTTCTATTGTATTTTCTCCAGGTGCTAGATGTTTGGAAGAGGTCCCACTGGCTTCTGCTTAGGTGCCTCTGCCTTGCCTATTAATCACGTCTTTCTAAAGGTAATTTCACGTTCATATAATTTGCCACTATTTTCTTTTGTGAAATGTGTCCACAAAACTCTGAAGTTTCACATGTCCTTTCTTCAGACTCTACAGAAATAAACAGGAATCAGATGACATTGATTCCACTGGCTTCCTCCTGCCCAGCTTTGGTTGGGACGAGGAGGGCTAAAGTGCTGAGTCCCCATCCTCATGCACATGGCGGAGATGACACGCATGGCCCAGGCCCGGCAGCGTAACTGAGAAACAGGAATGATCAGGAGGTAGCATGGAAATCCCTTGTCCCAGCAGAAGGCAACTCAGCCTTAGTAGCAGAGAGCAGGGTGACTGTCACACCCAGTGTCCAACAGTGAGTCTGTGAGTGAGCACTTGGGACATTTTTCTTAGTAGATAGAACAGGTTGGGGGTGAAGCTCAGTGGTACAGCACTTGACTAGCTTGCACCACAAAAACAAAACCTCAAAAGGGCGGGGATGGTGTGGGACATAAACTGGTGACAGTTTTTTAAAAGGGAAAAAGTAGGGGCTGGGGAGATGGCTCAGTAGAATAAGTGCTTGCTTGGCAAGCGCAAGGGCCTGAGTTCAATACCCGCTTCAGCAAAAAAAAAAAAAAAAAAAGGTAAAAAGTAAATTATTATTAAATAGTTGTTATACTTATGACGTTATGGAGCAGAAAGCATTCAGGCCTTTCAAAGCTCTCCCACACACTTAAAGTGTCCAGTCCTTTCCGTGACAGACGACTTGCCTATATTCTAGTCCGAACTGCCCCTGTATAGCCTGGTGGTTAGCACAGGAGAAATGATGCCCAGCTCCATGACGACCACATCTGCTGGGGCACAGCACGAGCACAGTGCGCACCTGCACAAAGCCTTAACTGCAGACACACACCAACAACCCGGTAGGAACTCTTTAAGCTTACTTTTTGTGTAGAAACTATATCCATTGATACCCCCAATTTCATGCACAAGATTTACTTCAACAGTAATGTTACTATAGGACACCTAAATGAGTTACTTAGCAATTTTTTACCCTGTCACATATTTTGTACATTGTTGGTTCTCTTATTCTATATAATTCAATACAGATCCAAGCCTCAGTCATATGCAGACAAAACTACTTGGACGGGGGGGCAAGGAAACTTGCTGCCAGCTAAGGTGCTGTTTCACCATCCCTCCACAGGCAAAAGCCAAAGCAGTCACTCCGCACTCCACAGCCTCCAACTGCCTCCTCTTGATGCAACCAGTTTTACGCTCAACACTGGAAACTGTGGGCATCACAGGTGCCCAAGTAGCAGCAAAAAGTGCATTTCAGTCAGGGGATCACATTGCAAAATGCAGACTACCATCTGAGGCCTATTCATTGGCATAATTGCTCCAGGCTGGAACAAATTACACATTCTAGTTAACAGAGGCAAAGACTTTCCCTTCTGCCATGGAGGAAATTATGGCTAAGTCATTTCGTAAATGGCACTGTACTTGCAAAGTACACGGATGAAAAAACTAAAGGGTATTTCAGTAAATGGGTTGAATCAAAGCAAATAGGTCGAATAAGAAGGACAAGAAGACTGATCAATAAGGTGTCAGTGATTACAATTTCTGATCTACAAAGCTGTGAGTAGTCTGCACCCCAGGGCTTGCTCAGAGCAGGCAGTTTGTAAACCACTTGGAAAAAGGCAGAAGTTGCTACTAAGCCAGAGCTGCGGAGTAGCTGCAGTAATTGTTCACTTTTTGGCAAGGAGTCTACTCCTCCCAGCTCAGCGACTCCCACGAGCCAGGTGAACCCCAGCTAGTCTGTCCCCAAGTGTTTCTTTCCATTGTACAAGGGCTGTTGGATGATGGCCTCTTGCCAGTTGCCTTTAGGTGAGATTTGGTAAAAATTACCAAAGAAACAAGAACATCTGCCACCCTATCATTTTCTTTGTATGGTTACTTCCCAAGCAGCTGCTTGGGAACTGCATGTGTCCATTTACTGGATTTAAACAAAGCAGTGCAAGGCAAAGGGGGGAGCCCATAAAGCATACGATATTTCACCCCACCACAGTTTGGGAGCCACAGGAGCCTCACCTGCGGGGGCTGACAAGGGCATCAGCAGCTGGGAGGCTCCACGCAGGAGGCACCCGCCTCTTACCTGTTTCTTTGTCTTGGACTTCCTCCAGGTGCAAGTCATTGAGAAGGTGCTCCAAGATCTTCTCCGGGGTCCCGGACACCACCACGTATCTGTCAGAGAGCAGGGAGTCCACTGAGTCATCCTCGGTGGATGACTGCGAGCGGCTGCTCCATTTATCGTCCTCATCCTCCTCGTCGATGTATTTGAAATAAGGCACATCGAAGGTGGGCAGGGGCAGCTCTCGGTCAGAGAGCACCGTGGGATCTTTCCTCTCTAGATGAGGGTCAAAGACCCTCAGCCGGGAGCTGCCCATTGTGAGCGGTTACTAACAAAGGCATCCCCTAAATGCTAAAAGATCTTGCCATCCCTGTGCTTTCACTGGGAACCGAGTCCATCTGGCTGTTCAGAGCTCTGCAGTCAGCTAGAAAGCTGGAGAGGCGGAGAGAAAAGAGAGGGAGGGAGGGTAGAGGAGGCAGAGGGTGTGGGTGAGACGGAGCAGAAGGAAGGCAGCAGAGGAGGGAACGCGAGCGCGTGCCTAGGTGGCTGCACGGGAAACTCTCACCTCCAATCGCTCTCCGCGCTCCCGGAGGCGGCGGGGGCGGGGCCGCAGCCCGGCACTTTTTTCAGCAGCAGGACGGTCTGGTCTTGCTCTTTAACCTGGAGAGTCGTCACTTCATCATCTTGCTTTAGTTGCCCAAGGGAGTGATGGATGGGAAAGGGAAAAGGGGAGAGAAAATTAAAAGGGGGCCCGTTCAAGCTGCAATTTCTAGGGTGGCTTTTCTGGCATCATTTTTTTTTTTTTTTTTTAAAGATTCAGAATAAAGTAGCAGCATGGAAGAGTCTCTCTAATTGCACAGTTTCCAGATTTGAGTTCTGCAGTAACATCAAACATTAGAGGTAAATACTTTAAAAGAAATAGAAGGGATAAAGAGGTAAAGGAGAGTGGACAGTCAGAGTCCATTTTTAAAACTATCGATAATTTGAATTGGAGACTATAAAGATCAAAATTTCAAAAAGCACGGGGTGCTAAGGGCTTGGGCACCCTCTTTTGCTTAGCTGTTTGTTAGACACTATTAAAATGGGAAAATCATATGAAACAAACTTTTACAAAAACCTTTAAATAAGCACTGTTTTATTTTAAAAAGTAGACAAAAAGCTACTCATTTAATCACTGGGGTCATTTTCCTTTAGACTCAAGATGGTCTTCCAATTTTTCACACACTTCAAGTTTTTCAGAACGCAAGCAAAACTGGATCTCTCGTCAGGATCTCATCTAGGCTGCAATTTGGATGTCACGGTCGACTGCTCTGGCTTTCTTCACCTCAGTCCCTTTTTTAAAAGGGGAAGGCTGACCCATCATTCATTTGTGCACACACAGCTCCCACAGCCCGGAGCCAGGGTGGCCCGCTGACAAGGCTCAGTCTCAGAGGACGCTCCTGCTGACCCAGCAGTGTGGAGCCAACTCTGAGCACTTCCGGAGCAATGAGTGTGGAAGTCTCCCGGCGTGCAGCGCTCAGGAACAGCCAAAGCAGCCCAGAGAGAAGAGCCCCAAGCTGAGCGCAGGAAAGCCAAACTTTTATATTTCTTCTGGCTTCAGCAAAAAATGGGAAAAGCTGATAAAAGTAGGTTTTACCTTAAAAATGATGTCATTTCTTTACAAAGAGAAACAGGTACTAGGGTTTCTTGTCTGTTTCTATTTCTACTACTGACAGAAAAGTCTACTTATATTTAGATACGAACATAAAGAGGAAAGATACCCTTGTCTGTATGGATAAAATGCACTACATCCATTGTGCTGGATTAGTTGCTTCTACTGACCAACCAGGGCTGTCAGTGTAGTGTATTTAACTCTTCATAGGAATATAGAAAGGCACTCATCGCGCCCTAATCGCCAGCCACATCGGTGATAAGCTTGTGATTTCCATTCCTGCTGTCCTGAATTCTTAGGAAAATACAGTGACCTACTCATTTAAATCCTTTCAGATTTCCTTAAAACAAACACTATCCATCATACTAAATAATTTTATGACCATTCTTTTTTAATCTATTAGTGGCAAATAATTTCACTATGTCAAACTGATGTATTACATTTCAGCAAGGTCAGATGCACAGTTTCTGTGGCAATTAATGTTGGATATTCATTGTTCAAGTCCCTGAGGACGGCCGCATGACTCCCGTAACATGAATACCAATGTGTAATTGCTATCTTTCATTTCTCTGAAACAGTTCTTTTGTTATCCATCTAGCTGAAATGAAATAACGGAGGTAGAGAGAAGAACATATATTGATCAAAAATAAAAATAAAAAAAAAGAGAGAGAGAAAGAGAATGAGGTTCGGAATACAGAGACATACAGAAACAGACAAATAACTCTGTTACTTGAGAAGAGAAAAATCTTTCCCTGGTTCCCCCTAATCGCAAGCCAATACTCATTTTCTACAAGCCTGCTGTCATTCTGAAGTACATTTTACATTCTATGCACATGTGATATATGGCATTATTAACTTCAGTGGGTCATGCACATGCATATGGATGGGAAGGGCCCCTCTAATGTCTGTGTAAATGCTATGTATTACATGGCTGTGCACACAGCAGCTATCCTCTACTGGGCAGGGAAGAGCTGGAGCAGATTGATGTACTATCAATAGCATCTTATGTCATTATAATAGGCTCCATTTTCAAAACCTGTATCAAATAAAGCAGAGAAAATGCAGAAAAATCAATGAAGGAAGGGAGATGCACATTATGAAAAACTGCCACAAAAACATCATAATCCTATATATTATATCTGGCTCTGAAATAGGAAAGTTAAATTAATATTTTCTGATCCATGCACCCTTAACTAATTTCCCTTATTGAAAAACAGGGGAAGTATCCCAGTTGAGGTTCTGGCTGTGTTTTATTCATGGTTAAGAATGAAAGTATTAAGCAAAGCGCAGTGGCACAGGCCTACAACCCCAGCACTCAAGGAGGCTGAGACAGGAAGATCACAAGTTTGAGTTCTATCTGTGCTACTAAGCAAGACCCTGTCTCAAAACAGAACAAAGCAAAACTAAAAAGATCTGAGGATGAAGTTCAGGGGCACAGCACCTCTGAGTTCTACCCTAGTACCACTACCCAAAGAAGAAGAAAGGAGAAAGAAGAAAAAGAAGAGGAGGAGGAGGAGGAGGAGGAGGAGGAGGAAGAGGAAGAGGAGGAGGATTAAGAAGACTAATTCTGGAAAACTGAAACATATATGTAATTACAATTCATGAAATACAAGCACAGCATCAAACACTTATTGAGAGTCAGTCACTCAGCACACGGTGAGGGCCTCCTTTGAGTCACATGCACTGATGAACAGAGAAGCAAAAACAAGCAGGGTAAGTACCTTGCTCTTAACTAAGTTTATAGGCACCACGAAGACCCAAGAATAGTTTGGTGAGAACCCTGCAATGTTGCCAAATTCAAGAGACAAGGCAGAAGCAGAACCCACAGGATTTGGCTGTTACAGGTAGCTGGTGAGTGACAGACTGGGGGAGAGATGCCACAAACTAGGACCATATGTACAGAGGAATGGCTCTGGGACGCTGAAGCAGCTCCTTTCAGAGGTTGCTGCTTTCGTCCTGGCAAGACCTCCTGCTGTGTGTGGCAGGCAGTGAGAAATAAAGCACCCGTATCAGAACCCAGGTCAAGGAACCAGACAAATGTGGAAGTCACTCAAGTTTGGGCAGTAGGTGGGCCAGCTGAAGGCGAGCAGAAAAGAGACGGAGGTACAAATGTTAGGGATTTACCTGAAGAAAAAAATAAAGGAAAGAGGTGGAGAGGAGGAGGATAGGGCCAGGGGGAAACTATTTATGGAGACTCGGAGAAGCAAAAGAACCAGGAGAGCACTGTGTTAAGGGCTCTGTGGATGAAGCTTGCCTCAACCTGTAGAGCTAGTGTGAGGTCAGGAGGTGGAAGAGAAGCGTTGAAGTGCAAATGAACCAGGAAAACAGAAAAAAGAGATAGGAGCCTTGGAAGATTCCACCACCAATCTAGATCACCTGGCAGGGGACTATCATTGTGGAAGGTGGCCAGGTAGAGAGAGCATTGCTGAGGAAAGAGGACACACGGTGATGTCTTCATTACTTTCTGCTGTAAGTGCTCAGGAGGCTTAAAGGAAAACAGTGAACAATGAGGCCCACCTAAGATGAGGGGCTCACTGGCCAAGGACATAACAGGAGGCCATGGAGAGGAGGGAGGCCAGGGCCCTTTGGAGAAACAGCCAGGGACTGGGGAAGGAGATGACCAGCTGCAGAAACAGAGGGGATAAGGACTTCTCCCCACATGGTCTAAGTGTGCAGGATCTGTTGTTCAAGGAGGCAATTTTCTGAAGCAGAAAAGTTCAGAGTGGTGAAGACTAAGGAAGACAACCACAGTGCCTGTGTGATACTCATGATTTGGATTTCATCTGTGGTTCCTGATTTACATCTCCTGTCGCTCTTATAATTTCCAAGTGACCAGAACACTAAGAGTATCTTTTGTTAAGGTACAGTGTTTGGTCTTTTGTTCTGAGTTCCTGAAACAATCCAGGGATGGCCCAGGAGCTGTAAAGGTGAAAGACAATCTTTTGTTATTTATAGCAAGCCCCTTCCCACTAAACCTGCATTTATGTTAATTAGGTGACTTTGGGAAAGTCCCTAAATAACCACACCACGGGAGGGGGGGTGGGCTGGTTGCCAGGGAACACAGCCCAACCCCCACCTCAAAGGGGAGGAAAGAGGCTGAAGGTTGAGCAGGTTGCTTATGGCCTAATCAATCATACCTACAGAATGCAGCCTCCATAAAAACTCAAACCCAAAAGCACAGGGCTCACAGGCTTGCAGGAAGGTGAAGGAGAATTTATTCCTATATTAGGAAGGTGGCATATCCTGACTCCACAGGGAAGGGAACTTTTGTACTTGGGGCTCCTCATCTGGTTGTTCATTTATATCCTTTAAATGATCCTGGTAAATATGTCTCCTTGAGTTCCTAGTCTCCCACAGAAAACAAACTGAACCCAAGGAGTGGTTGCAGGGCCCGTGGTTTATGGCCAATAGGTCAAGAAAACCTGGAACTTGTGATTGGCATCAAAGGCCCCCCTCAATTTGGGGACTGAGGCTGCTGTCTCTCCAGATAAAAAGTATCAGAACTGAGGTGAATTGTAGGAGACCTGAACTGGGGTTGCCTGAAGAAATGACTGCTGGCTTATTATATAGGGCAACCTCCTACACATGTGGTGACAAACATCTGTCTTGGTTTCTGAGTGAGTTTTCACCCTTTATTTTCAGACCCTGACATCTAGGAGCCAGCCCAGCACCCATAGCTGGGCCCTGGTGCCCAGGGGAAAGTGACCTCACAGAAAATTAACACTAATCAAGGTCATGATGAGGACAAAAACACAGCCCCTCAATGATGGTATCTGAACACATGTGAATACTGTCCAAACCACAAAATACCCAAAGCACCCCCATGAATAACTGCTGCTACTATTTTTTATTTATTTGTTGTCAATGTCAGCTATAGTTTTGTCCTAGTCTGTCTTCTTTACAGAAGGACTAAGACTTAGCAAACTACTCCATCATACAGGCACCTACTCTCCCTAACAGCATCAAGTCCAGAGGAAAGCCCTGCTCCTTTCAGCCTTTCTCAAAGTGACCCAGTGCAAATGCAAGTCATGGGAGA